CTTTATGATATATACATATATATTGTTTATGTAATATATATATATATATACATATATATATATATATATATATAAATATATACATATATATATATATGTGTGTGTGTGTGTGTTGTTGTGTGTGTGTGTGTGTATATATATATATATAAATATATATATATGTGTGTGTGTGTGTGTATGTATATATATATATATATATACTCCATACGATGCTGTGGATACTCTTAGTCAAAGCAGAGCATATTCATGACACATGGGTGCGCGATATAGCAGTTACTATTAGTCTATTCATGAATTGATGGGGCCTGTGCATAACAATCATACTGAAAGCCATTGCGTATATATTTCAGATATACATTCTGACTACTGTTGGTTCTGCTATCAGGTTACGGACTCTGAGTTGGCGAACGACAGTGTCAGTGCGAAACCAAGCCAACGGAAAGCCAGTAGGAGCTCGTCAAAGGCAGTTGCAGCCAATCAAATCTCGAAGAAACGGTACGCGACAATGTGTGACGAAGAGTCAGCCAATGAAAAGCTCCAGAACAAGAAAGCCAAAAACGAGGTGCATGGTGACGCGGAGGTCTCGGCTGTAGGGCCGATGGTGGCGTACAACTCCACGCGGACACTCAAGATGACAATGAGTCGATCACAGCAAGCCAAGTCTGGTAAGTGATAGAGAGATGCACGTACGTACTGTGAGTAATGGATACACGACCGTGCGGTACGCAATGAATATACGTACAGACTGTACGCAATGAATATACGTACAGACTGTACGCAATAGGTATACGTACGTGCTGGGCTCTTCTGTCTACCCCCTATCATGTTTGAAACCGGTACGTACCGCTTTCTATCGTCTATCCCCTACCGTGTTTTAAGACCTGGAAGGAAGGGCAATTCTCTAAATAGGATGTGTATGCGACATTGACCTGATTTTGACTGTCTTGTTTCATCTGTGCAGAATCGTCAAAGGAAGGGATTGTGGATACTAAACATGGGAGCCAATCAAAAGACAGCAATGGTACGGTGCGACAACCCCCATTGGCCAATCAAAAGACGCTAAAAAGAAAAGCCACGCCTGTGACGGAGACACTAAAGATGCCAGAGGACGATTTGCTCAGCATGTCCTACAAGGTGAGTGTGCCGTAAACACCATCTCTCACATGTGTGTGATATAAACACCATCTCTCACGTGAGATATGAACACCATCTCTCATATGTGTGTGTGATATAAGCACCATCACTCACGTGTGTGTGTGATATGAACACCATCTCTCACATGTGTGTGTGATATAAACACCATCACTCACGTGTGTGTGTGATATAAACACCATCACTCACGTGTGTGTGTGATATAAACACTATCACTCACGTGCGTGTGTGATATAAACACCATCACTCACGTGTGTGTGTGATATGAACACCATCTCTCACATGTGTGTGATATAAACACCATCACTCACGTGTGTGTGATATAAACACCATCACTCACGTGTGTGTGTGATATAAACACTATCACTCACGTGCGTGTGTGATATAAACACCATCTCTCACATGTGTGTGTGATATAAACACCATCACTCACGTGTGTGTGTGCTATAAACACCATCTCTCACGTGTGTGTGTTCTATAAACACCATGTCTCACATGTGT